ATTATGTATTTTTCAATTCAACATAAAAGTATTATTTTTTATGCAGTATTATCGTGAAAAAGTAGACGTTAGAACTCTTAACAAATCTGTAACGACTGTCTTAAGAATGAAACAGAGGATTATATATGTCGCAGTTGGGCATAGATGTATTGTTTTCTTGTGCACAAAAAGACAGTATTTCTCCAAATCCACGTACGAAATGTATATTCCTATAGTTCCTTTTTACAATGCTCGCGTAAATACTTTTTAAAGAGTTCGCACGTCTACATTTTCTATGACTTTATGAAATAATTTTAAAGAATCATGTAAAAAATAAAAGTTTGGATATATTGATAAATGCACAAGAAACAAACATAATGTTATTAAAACTCATCACTTAAGGGCTGTGACAAAATGACCGAATATTCGAACAAATGTATGTCTGGCGAAAATAAGTATTGCCACATTAAATTTTTTTATATTCGTAAACGTAAAAACGTAAATGTAAAAAAAAAACATAAAAAAATTTAAATACGAAACAAAGAGAAAAGTATGAATACCGCCGGACATATGTTAAATATTTCAACAAATTATGTTTAAAATATATTAACTGTGCAAATATTCCGTCTAAATTTGAATCTCTAATAAATAATGTAACAATATCCTGAAGCATTATGTGTAAGATACTGTATCATTTCTTTTATTATTTTAATGTTATGCTTATGCTGATATAAAAATTCCGCGATCATAAACAATGTTGTCTTAAAGTATTACAAGCAGGTACTAAATTGTAGTATTTAATCATTTTAAGCATATTTAAAAAGATCTCGATTATGAATTTAATGTCATCTCTAAATTAATTCTAGCACGTAACAGATTTTATCATTTTATCATTGTAATGTTATTATTATTTAAAAATTTGACAATTATAAAATTAATGTTGTATTTAAAATAGTACAAGTAAAAAATTATATAATTTTCTTATATTAATGTTACGCTTATTTAAAAATTTCACGAAACTTTTACGAATATAATGTTATGGTTTGTGTGATAAATGAGCTTTTAACACATAGATTTGCACGCCGAAGTAACACATATTTAACACATATTTCATGCAATTATTTAAATATAATTTCAAGTTAATTGTATATTCAAAGATACATAAACATGTGATAATAAATAGTTCATTTATAATACCTATATAAATAAAAAATATAT